TTTGGGACCAAAAATTATTCAGACCGAGTCTGGGAATAAACTGAAGTTGAGGTTTGCATGAAGTTGGGTGACAGCATGCCCAGGAGACTACAGGCTGTCATTGAGGCTAAGGGTTGCCCGACTAAGTGTTGATAGTTGTGTAAATACTGTCGTACTAACAGCTGTCTAATTTTTGGTTTATTGTAATCCATTACATACCTTTCTATCAAAGTTATCTAACATTACCAAGCTGAATTTGTTCTGACTCAGTTTAACTCTTGAGTTCTTGTTATATTTTATCACCATTTTCTAAACTATAGTGAATAAACTGTGATAATGTGAGAAATGTTGAATGTGTCTGAATACATTTTGGTTTGACTGTATCTGTTTGATAAATGAAGTTAACCAACTAACATTATACATACTCTTTTGGTTTCTGTACCCAGTATTTAAAAAATTTACAAATGCAATAAAAATATTGGTATCGGTACTCGGTATCGGCAAGTACCAAAAATAAAAGTATCGGTATCGGATGAGTACTGGAAAAAGTGGTATCGGTGCATCCTTAGTTATGAGCCAAAAAATAAATCCATCCATCCATCCATCCATCGCTGTTTACTCATGGAGTAAAGGAGGGGGGGAAAAATGAAAATAAATAAATAAATACAATTTTAGCTCATTGTGGCAGTAGAGGATTTTACTGTTATATAGAATTTATATATAGCACTAAAAATGAAAACTATTTTAGGATTTTTATTTTTGTAGATTTTTTAAGTTTTATGACATTTAAACAATTTTTTTCTCTCCAAAATTCAAAATAAAAGCAATACAGAACCACAAATACTTTTAACATATAGCACACACAAAACTGTAACACAAAAAAACCATACAATAATTTGTATTTATAATATTTATACATATAATAGTATCTACTGTACTGCCTTTAATTTATGTTGATTCATATAAAACAGTGTATTACAGTAGATTTATTCATTTAAAACTCAAAAAAGTGGATGCATTATTGCGATAAGTAGGGTAAATGTGCTTAATTATTATGAAAATGTTATAATGCAAATCTTAATTCACCCCAAAATAATCTCCTTGGAGTGAAATGCCAAATAAATAAATAAATATAATTTCTTACTTTTTATTTTTTTATTTGTTTTCTGTTGATTTGAGTGAAATTTTAAACAAACAAACGCATTTATTTATTCGTTTTCTACTTTTTCTGTTGATTTTGAAGTGAAATGCAAATAAATAAAATTTATATTTGTTCATTTTCTGTAGATTTTTGAGTGAAATTCTAAATAAAAAATATATTATTTCTATGATCTAAATACATGTATTATTTATGAAATTATTTTCTGTTAATGTAGTGGTGAAATGTGATCTGGATGGAGGGCCCCCCCCCCCAAAAAAAACTGGAAAAAAGGCATAGTGAAAAACAGAGTGTTCAGTGCATTTGTTATTCAAAAGAAGCAGCACATCAACCTGTGCTGCAAGGAAAAACCACGAAGGACAAAGTGGAGGATGTTATGAATGTTATAGATCAGGATGAAAATTTAAAAAATTTACTTTGGCTTTAAAGGTGACATATCATGAAAATCTGACTTTTCCAGGTTTTGAGTGCTATAATCAGGTCTCCGGTGCATCTACCAACCAAGGAAACGTGAAAAAGATTAACCCAGTAACTTTGTTTTGGGAAGCCTTTTCTGCAAGCGTCTGAGAAAACCAGCGCGTCTGATTTCGCTCCCTTGGTGACGTGGCAAAGGGATCTCATTATAATATTACCGCCCCTTAATCTGTAAGTTTACACCCACAGCGCCGTCATTTGATTTTGCAAGTGACAACGGTGTACCAGTTCTAACGCCATGGCAAAAGTTTGAGCAAAACATGCTAACTGTTCTGTGTTTGGCTGCACAGACGAGCACAGAACACTATTTAGAGTCCCAGCCTCAGAGGAGACAAGACAGCAGTGGATTTATTGATTTATTTACTGTATATTGCTGCTGCCACACAGATCTAAAATAAACATGCGATTTATTTCCCAGCTGTTTACCTTCACAGACATAACCCACTGTTTTTGTAACTCATGTGTTTTTAACGTAAACTTGTGTGAATGAGAACTTAGTTTAGTACTCACATGCTGTGACAGCCGCTTTCTGTCCGTGTGCTTCGGATGTGTGCTCTCAAAAAATACGTATATCAGAAGTTTAAACTCATATGGTCTAAAACACATGATTTCAGCACGATAAACATGATAATCGGAACCAATACGGATGTTTTTTAGCAGGTATGAGCTGTAATGGCGCAGCTCTATTCTGGAAAAGGGGGCGGGGAGCAGCAGCTCATTTGCATTTAATGAAACAGGCCCGAAAAACAGCATGTTTCTGCTTCCACTCAAAATAGGCATGCAATGTTGGTTTTTGGATTTAGGTTTTATTTTGTATTATCTTGTTTGTCATGTGACTTCCTGTTCCCTCACATGTTCTTGCCATGTGCTCCCTTAGTCATGTGTCATGTGACCCCCTTTGTTTGATTTATATAGTCAATCCATCATTCCAGCTGATAATTGCTCTGGAGTCTCAGTACAGCGTTCGTCCTGTATTACACAAGTCCAGCTCAGAGGATTCATCTGGACGACTTTACTCTTTAAATTACCTTTAGATTATTAAATTAACACTGAATCTAAAAGAGTTTGATAACTACTTAAAATGCCAAGTCTTCTTTTCAGCGTTTATCTTTTTTTAATCTTCAGATCAAATCGATGGATTGAAGTCATGCAGCACTAATCTGACAATTAACAGCGGATTTTAAAGTTTGATCAATACAGACATAACCATTGACACTGTTTTGCATTACAGTAATGAGAAACTGTCCTCAATGGTCTCGAAACCTGCTGCAATCAAACTAATCAGCACCCGGGTCATTTCCTTTTCATTAAATACAGGAAGTCACTGAAATCCATTCACGTCTATTATATACACACATGTGACCCTGGAACACAAAACCAGTCTTAAGTGTCAATTTTTTAAAATTTAGATTTATACATCATCTGGAAGCTATAAAAATAAATAAGCTCTCCATTGATGTATGGTTTGTTAGGATAGGACAATATTTGGTCGAGATACAACTATTTGAAAATCTGGAATCTGAGGGTGCAAAAAAATCTAAATATTGAGAAAATCGCCTTTAAAGTTGTCTAAATGAAGTTCTTAGCAATGCATATTACTAATCAAAAATTAAGTTTTAATATATTTATGGTAGGAAATTTACAAAATATCTTCATGGAACATAATCTTTACTTAATATCCTAATGATTTTTGGCATAAAACTCTTGATGACCAGATGACCCTTCTCAAAGAGGTCAAGGGTCAGTTTGAGGTACAGATACGAGCCCTGGCTGCGGGAGACGAGGTGGGAGCTGACTTTGCCCACGATGATGGGGTCTGCTTTGCCGCTGAGGGAGATGTTGTTGAGGATGTTCTGGCTGCCGTTGATGCGGTGCTGGATGTAGGCGTTTAGGTCCGTCCCGATCTCCTTGCTTTCTGGGAACTCATCCAGGCTGATCTTGGAGAAGGGCAGCAGACTGGTGATCTCCTGAAAAGACAAGATGGAAATGTCATGAAATGCATCCAAAACATTTCCCAGTAGATTTCTCTGAGGAGGACAATGTTGATGTTCTGCCTGATGAAGTTTTGAATTCAGTTCAGTTCATTTATCTCCCATGTACAAGTATTTTTAAGTAGGTATTAAAATTAAAATCTAAGTAGGTTACACTTTATTTTAAGGTGTCCTTGTTACAGTGTAATTATACATTTAAGTACTGAGTAATATTAATTAACTACATGTACTTACTATACGGTTAGGGTTAGTTGCATGTAATTATGCATAATTTATAGTTATTATAATACTAAGTACATGTAACGTGTAACAAGAACACATTAAAATAAAGTGTTACCCTAATTAATACTTATTAAACTATTAAGTATTACAATATTAAAATATTGACCATATTACTTGTCAAAAAGAATAATGTATTTATTCATTTTTGTTCTTCATTTTATTTTATTATTTCACTGAGCAGCTCTCATGAAAAATAATATTTAAAACAGTAACAATCATACTTAATCAATAAATATTATTATTTTTATTTCAAAGAAAATTCTGCATAAAAACATTCAATAACATGACACCAATGACATTTAAACGAAAAAAAAAAAAACAATTAAATTTAAAATTCTACAACATGGCATGAAATTTGCCATGCGAGTACTTGAACAGCCTCTTCTTACTCTGAACTTTGAACTTTTTGTAATTTAAAAATATGTTAAAACACTGATAACACCAGTGACAACAAATTATATTATTATTTTAAGAATCAATAATATTAATATATTTTTATTATATTACTATATTAATAATATTATTAATAATTTGTTTTCATTTGCTCAGTTGTTAGACCTAATGCTTAAAAAAATAAAAAAATAAATAAGTGTACAAGTCACAGAAATGGTGTACCAGAAGGGGACATATTTGACTAAAATAAATAAATAAAGTGCAGAAAAAAGTCAGCCTAAGAGAGTAAGCCTATTTAATTATTCAATAAATTGTCATGTTATAAAATAATGTCTTTTATAAAATACAAAATACAAAATAAATAATAAATAAAATAAAATAAAATGACAAAACAAAAATAAATAATAAAATAAAATAATAGATTTAGTTTCATGATTATTCAAAATGTTTTACATCATTAAATACTGTCATTAGGGCTGCACAACAAATCGTATTCGATTGTCATGCGCATCTCGTCAATAAAGCCGGTTCTGTGATTAGTAGTAATATCGCAATATCGCGTTCATAATCGAATGTGATTCATCTGCGATTATAGATAGAGATAGATGCTTTATTTGTCATTTCTATATGTTGCATAGAAACAAAATTGTGTTTCACACGTCCAAAGCTTACAGTTCAGTGCATTATAAAAACATAGATATTTCAGTCAAAATTATTTAGAAATACTAAAACATAAATATTCTAGTAAAATTATTTAAAGTACTCTAAATGTGTTAAAAAAAATTAACCACAATAAAATCACAAACTCTGATTTAGTAGCCTGATTGCTGTAGGAAGAAAGCTATTTAACAGCCGAGTTTTTATGCTGCGGTATCTTTTTCCTGACTGCATCAATGTAAACAATCCATAAAATGGATGTGTGCAGTCCTTCAGGATGCCACCAGCTCTCCGCGCACAGCGCTCTGTGTAGGTGTCCTGTAGCTGTGGCAATGAGACACCAATCATTTTCTCTGCTGTTCTCACAATCCGGCTGAGATTGTGTCTCTCCTCCACTGTACAGCTGCCGAACCAGGATGAGATACAATAGGTCAGCAGGTTCTCAACTGTCCCTCTGTAAAACAGGGTCATGGCTGGGATAGGAAGTTCCACCTTCTTCAGCCTGCGAAGAAAGTGAAGGCGTTGTTGGGCCTTCTTGATGACAGCTGAAGTGTTGTCTCTGGTAGTCAGCTTGTCTGTCAGATGGATCCCCAGAAACTTGGTGCTTTGGACCCTCTCCACCTCAGAGCTGTTTATGGTTAGAGGGAGATGGTGATGTTGGCTAACCCTCCTGAAATCTATGACCATCTCCTTTGTCTTGTTGGTATTGAGGGCCAAGTTGTGCATTGTGCACAAGGCTGTGAGTTTCTCCACCTCTTTCCTGTATGCCGACTCATCATTATTGGTAATAAGGCCGACAACAGTGGTATCATCTGCGAACTTGATGACATGGTTGCTGTTAAAACTGGCAGTACAGTCATATGTCAGCAGCGTGAACAATAAAGGACTCAGAACACACCCTTGTGGCGTACCTGTGCTCACAGTTATTCTTTTAGATGTTAAACTGCCAACTCTGACTGTCTGTCGTCTCTCTGTCAGAAAGTTCATAATCCACCTACACACTCCTGAATCCAGACCCAGCAGCAACAACTTTTCCACCAGTTATTGAGGCAAGATTGTATTAAATGCTGAGCTGAAGTCTTGTTCTCCAGGTGTGTCAGTGTGAGGTGGAGCAGTGTGGAGATGGCGAGCGGTTCGCTCTATACGCGAACTGAAGCGGGTCCAGATTTGTTGGGAGACAAGACCTGATATGACTCATCACTAGCCGCTCAAAACACTTCATGGCAATGGGGGTCAAGGCTACTGGACGATAGTCGTTCATTGAGGATGGATTGGACTTTTTTGGGAGTGGGATATTAATGGAGCTTTTTAGACAGGTGGGTACACTGGCCTGGCTGAGAGAGATGTTAAATATATCACAAAAAACATCCTTTAATTGCTCTGCACACCCTTTTAGCACCCAACCTGGGATATGGTCAGGCCCAGCAGCCTTCCGTGAGTTGATCTTAGTAAAGACCCTCTTGACACGGTCTACTGTCAGCTGCAGTGCCTGGTGAACAGAAGACTGTTCCTGCAACCTCAAACCGAGAAAAAAATTCATTGAGGTCATCAGGAAGAGAGGGGTCATTGTCCATTGCCTTTGCTGTAGGCTTATGGCCAGTGGCCACTTGAAATCCCTGCCATAAGCACCTTGTGTCCTTGGTGTGGGTGAACTGAGTGGACAACTTTATCTCAAAGGCCTTTTTTGCCTGACGAATGCCTTTTTTCAGGTTGGCCCTTGCTCTTGCATACCCTACTGTGTCACCAGATCTGAATGCAGCGTTGCGGAGCCTCAGTAAGGAGCAAACTTCACCTGTCAGCCACGGCTTATTGGCAGAGTACACCTTGATAGATTTTTTTAACAGTCACATCATCAATGCACTTGTTTATAAAACCCAGCACAGCTTCTGTGTATTCCTCCAGGTCTATACAGTCACCAGATGTTGCAGCATCCTAAAAGATGCTCCACTGTGTGCATTCAAAGCAACCTTGTAAAGATGGAATGGCCTCCTGTGGCCACACTCTGATTTTCTTTACTGTGGGTGGCGCTGTTATGAATGCGATATTGCATAGCTTGTCAGTGAACTACGGCTCTGTGTATTAAATGCCGCTGTCATCAAATTTCAATAGACATTTTTACAGATAACACATCAGTATGTTTGATAGAAAGACAGGAGGGATGCAGGAAGTCATCGGACCAGAATGCACCTGCGCTCTTGATAGACACTGGTTTCTCCAGACATCATGTCACTGACAAACACTTAAAGGCTTTTTCTTTACAATCTCACACACACACACACACACAAAATTATCAAGGTCCACAAGGTCAACTGGAAGACTGGTTAAACACAGTCACTCACACACACACACACACACATCCCTACAAATCAATAGGGCCAATAATCCCGCTCATATTGCAGCAATAACACAGCACCGCAGTGGAGAGAGAGAGAGAAACAATCAATTTTACATCACACAGGAGCCTCATATCCAGCCACCACACGCTGATGAGAAACCACGCTCCTGAAACCTGAAGAAAAGGCTGCGGTGCATCAGACAGTCAGCATCACACACAAATCAACAGATGAAATCACACCAGAAACCTGCCAAAATGCCTAGTTCAAATGATCAAGGCATGTTTCTCACACATTATATTTAATCATTCTTATTCATATGCACCAATATTCACCAACATATATTTTCACCCTATAAAACATACTGTATCATGATGCTGAAAACTCTACTACATGCCTTCTGTCGATTGAGTTTTACTTTTTTAACAAGTATAATTGTACAAACATCCATCTTCACCTCGTGCTTCACGTGTCTTTCCGCTGAGAAATCTTTACTGATTTTACTGAAAGTAAATGCAAGAATAACTTTTATATTATTAGTAATATTTCAAGATGAACACTTACTGGACTGAAGCGGCTTCGGTTTACATGATTATCCATACATCATTTATTAGAAAAATCATGTTCAAATGTGAGCATCAAATATGATCATCAGGCTTTTGGGGAACGTTTATTTGTTCATCTTTCAATCATCATTTTATTGCATTGCATTATATGTTTTGATCACTGAAATATCATCTTACTAAGACTATTATTTATTTATTTCACAAAAAATAGAATGCAGCTTATTAAGATATATAAACAACATTAATGTTCACATTGTTGGTTATGAAGAAGCCATTTCTTAAAATGATGCTTAAATGAGTTAAATGATGTACATTCTCTGATTGATTGTGGTATTGAATTCCACTGATGTGATGCTCCGCATGAAAAAACAGCTTGACCAAACAAGGTTTTTCTATGTGCAATTATGCACTCAGCTTTAGCTACACTGCTGCTGTAATCAGCGGTAAATCTCCATCACCGGCGGGCTTTCACATTGAGCAGCATTAACTACACAGAGCCGTTGTTCACTGACGAGCTGCGCAAAAAATCGCGCGAATATGAACGTGGTTTTGCGCAGCTCGTCAGTGAACAACGACTCTGTGTAGTTAATGCTGCTCAATGTGAAAGCACGCACGTGATGGAGATTTACCGCGGATTACAGAACCGACTTTACTCATAAGATGCGCGTTAAATATCGCATGCAATTTATCGTGCAGCCCTAATTTAAATGTAATAAAATCAACCAGAGGAGGAGCTAAACCATGCCTAATCTTATAAACTAAACAAACATTTTTAAACTAAGTGATGTTTTCCCAGCTAAACAGGTTATACGTATTTAAGATATGACAATGGTGAAAACTATTTTTTTTAATCTAATATTTTAAGTGCTTGTTTGTACAATAATTCCAATGGTTTTAGAACTATAACTTGTGTATTAGACCAACTTGTCAGACAATAAGTAATATGAGTATTATTGGAGATACAGAGTGACGACTGATAGATTTTATGTAAATATCTGCTGTACTGTTATAAAGATTGCATTGATTTACATTACAAAGCATCAGAATTTCCATCTTACCTTCTGGCCATATAAATATTGCATATTTTTTGCTCACTTTGGGCCTCTGAATAAAACTTAGGAGCTTTTTCCTCCATATTCTCACTAGATGAGCCATAAAATCCTGATGTGCCAAATATGACACTCAAAAAAAAAAAAGCAAATTTTTTATACATACATTTTGTCTAATGGTTCACTAAACTGTTCCTTTAAAAAAAAAAAAGAGTAGATTTTTTCAGACTATTATTTCATAAGTCAGGCTTTACAGTGTTAGTACATCAAATGCATAACTGAATCAGAGTTCTGAATCGATTCACTGAAATGAATCAAACAGCAACTTTAACACTATTTTTGCTTCTGAAGTTTAAATGATAAACTCTATTACAACATCTCCGTCCAAACCTCAAAGGTAAAACTTGCCACAGCAAATCAGTTCAGGAAGCAAATAACCAGTTCAGCTAGAGAGTGTAGTTTAGGAAGGAAATATTGATCAAGCTCAGCAGACAGACGAACGTCTCTCTCAAGTGTCTGTCACCGTCCTCTCAGAAACTCTTTCAGCCCCAGCTCGCCTTAGAGAAGCTCTGCTGAATGTGCACTGAATCATGGGTAAACCTTGAGAAACACTCCACCCGAGACTGAGAGGAGACAACATTTAAATCAAAACCTCACTGTCACATTAAGACGGGTGCACTGAATATGCAATATATGTGTGATGATTTTGCTGGCAGTGTAAGATAAAGCAGATTGTGAAAATTAGGATGAGTTCAATTCACATTTTTAGTAATTTAACTAGATTCATGATAAGAGTGTTCAGAGAGAAAGGCTCTGATTTTAACTTCGGCAGCAAAACCTTTGGTGTTCAAACGGTCTTTTTCAGTGTACTGCAATGTGATTCAACGATTTAATTGCATAATCACTCAAATATTCAATATCAAGTCTTATGTATATATTTTACATAATTGTAAATATATTTTTCATATATTAAAATGTTTGAATGACATATACTACAACATTTTTTAAGTTTCTCCTGCTCACTAAGACTGCATTTATTTGATTAAAAATACAGTAAAAACTGGAATATTATTAAAAATTATTAGAATTTAAAATGTTTTCTATTTGAAATTGTATTCCTTTGATCAAAGTTGAATTTTCAGCATCATTTCTCCAGTCTTCAGTGTCACATGATCTTCAGAAATCATTCTAATATGCTGATTTGCTGCTCAAGAAACATTTCTGATTATTATCAATGTTGAAAACAGTTATGCTGCTTCATATTTTTGTAGAAACTGTGATACATTTTATTTTTCAGGATTCTTTGATGAATAGAAAGTTGAAAAGAACAGCATTTATTTGTAATAGAAATCTTTTGCAACCTTATAAATGTCTGTACTGTCACTTTTGATCAATTTAATGCATCCTTGCTGAATAAAAGTATTAATTTCTTTCAAAACAAATAAAAACTTACTGACCCCAAACTTTTGAAAGTAGTGTATGTAAATATTGTTTATTAGTAATGTAATATTGTAATTGCAATTAATATTGTAATTAAATATGAATCTTCCTTGTGTTCATTTAGTGAAAATAACACATGCCTTGACTATTTTAACTACAGCAGTTTTTACTGTATTTTACTTCTTAAACATGTTAAATTACTAGTCTACAGTGGCATACTGGATATATAAAAATGTGCATTTTAAATAATTTCAGAGCAAATACATAAATCTAAAGATATACTACAAATATTGTCAAAAGGGTGAAAAATATTGCAAAGTCCTATTGAGTGCCAGACTAGCTCTCCTCACTTATAGTGACAGCTAAAGCAGAACGCATTAGGAGGCTTTCATAAGTACAAAAACACACATTTGCGCTCATGCGCGTGCACGCACGCACGCACACACACACACACACACACACACACACACACTCCAATCTGTCGTCTGACACATATCAAACACTAGATGATTCTGCTCTGCTAGTCGAGCACTACCTTTCAAACTGTCAAAACGCAGCCAACACGAACACTGTCTCTCTCTCGAATTCACTCCCTTTTCCTTTTCACCTCCTCCTGTCTGGATTACTGTCTAGCTGTCATACCGTCTCATTTGGAAGGTCAATGTTCCTTATTAGAACTACCAGATTCTCCTGCCCAAAGTGACCAGATGAGGTGGAGAGAGTCTGAGATGGTGAACGTAACACCCAACCTGATCTGAGCAGATGAGAAAAATATTCTGGGTTACACAACTATTAAAAAAGATTCAAACATTCACTGATGCTTCAGAAGGAGAAACGATGCATTAAGCCATGAAACTTAAAAAAGGGGTGAAAACTTTTGAACAGGATGAAGATGTCCAATTTTTTCTTATTTTGTCGAAATATAATTAATTTTTCTATTTAGTACTGCCCTTCAGACGCTACAGGAGATACTTGCATGTTTCCCGGAAGACAAATTAAGTACAATTTGCCTTGATCTTCAAATTCAAACGGTGTTCACCCCCGGTTCTTAATGCATCGTGTTTCCTTCTGGAGCATCAGTGAATGTTTGAACCGAATGTTTTAATAGTTGTGTTTGAGTCCCTCAATTGTCCTCAGAGTGAAAAGATGGATCTCAAAATCATACAGTCACTGCTGGAAAGGATTCAAATATGCAAAAGATGTTGGAAAACTGAAGAATCTGCAGGAGCTGGAGGATTTTTCTGAAGAACAGTGCTCAGTTTAACTGTTCAGAACAAACAAGGGACTCATGAACAACCATCACAAAACAAAAAAACAGTCGTGGATCATCCAGGTAACCACAGAACCAAGGGTTCCCAAACTTTTGAAGGGGGTTATTTTAAGAATTTCAGCTATTTTTTTTGTCTTGTGGACTATATGCAAACATCCTTTATGTAAAATATCTTACTCAAGACAGTACTAAATAAAAAATAACATGCATTTTGTATGATCTCTCTTATTTTGTTAAAAGTATTAACATTTTCACAGATTCCGCAAGGGGTTCCCAAACTTCCGCATGCCACTGTATTCTGCATGACCATATTCTGCATCCCTAATCCTACCCAATACCTAAAAATAAGCAGCAGATTAGGAGTTTATTGAGGCAAAAGTCATAGTTAAAGGTTTGTTAATAGTGATAACTGGACCTTAAAATAAAGCGTGACCAACAATTTTCTATATCATTTTTATTTCTTTTGATTTTGGGTGAAATATGATGAGTGAAAAAAAAAACTTTTGAAATTCAGCTTCATGCCTCAGCAGCCAATGATTCACTGTGCAAAACACATTGTGGCCACACAAACCATATTTACCCTAACTGCCATCAAAACCGTATTATCATCTAATTTATCCTATTTTCCATCTAGTGCAGTTTTGTTTATAGTTTTGATGATGAGGGTGTCACTCAATCTGTCCATCTGTCAAATTGGACTAGATTCTCTTTCCTAGTTAAGTCTGTTCATTTATTCATATGATTAGTTGCATTTTATTATTTGCATCGAACATTGATTTTTCCAGCTCAGAATAGATCTGCCACCCATTCCAGCAGCTTTAGATACAGTATATATTCACGTCTCACCAGAAGGCTTGTTCTCACAGTGACGATCAGTTTGAGCCAGTTGGGGAACTTGGATGTGATCTTGGTGATGAAGGAGGCGACAGTGTCACCATAGTCCGGTTTGTGAAACTCCGCCTCGTTTAACCCGTCAATCAAGATGATGCAATCTTCCTCTGGAATCTTCCTCTCTGATAAACAACATAAAAAGTACATACATCACATACATTATACAAAACAATAATTAAATACATTAATGCCAAATTACAAAGTGTTTTATAAAGGTAAAGCAGAGCTTTTATTGGATTTATATATATATATACACAGTGTATATATATATATATATATATATATATATATAAATATATGTATATGTGTATATACATATATACATACAGTATATATATATATATATATATATACACATAAATCCAATATATATATATATTAGGGCTGTCATCGTTAATGCGTTAACACATGTGATTCATTTTACAATCCTTAATGCGTTAAAATAATTTAAAGCAATTAACGCAAAATTACTGAAGCACAATTTCTAACCCTTTAACCCAATTTTGCTTCTCTCCGGGGAAAGTTTTCAGTTCAATGATCCAGTAAGCGAATGCACTCAAACAATCCGTCCAAAACAGCGCTAATATAAAGGAAACCAGGCTGATTACATCAGAGATTGCAGAGAGAACAGAGACTCGCATTGCGTTTTAAGTGAATTATTCCAGTGTGTTTCGCTTTTAAACATGATCTCTGTCATATTCTGTGATTGTCTCTGAAGAGTGCGAGCTCTCACACATTGCGCTGTGTGAAGTACAGACTGAACGCTTTGTCAACACATCCCACCGCTGTATGGCCAGATGAGACGCGACTGCATAACCAGTCTCGCTAGGAAATTTTTGATGGATGAAGACTGCAATCAAGGTAAAGACGATTGCGGTGGCGTACAGGAGTCGTACAATAAGCACACGTGAGTCCGTTATAATAATGCGTGTATGAGTGCTCTTGACGCACTGATCACACATTGTATTTATGCACAGGCACAGACATTTCTGTACATTCACGTTGTTTCCACACACATTCACGATAATGTTTTGATTTGTAATGTTTATGTTGCTGTGTTTAGTTATTCTGAATGGATCCGTGTACTGTAGTAGATATATGCAGTCAGCAGGTGGTTGGTTTAGGGTTTTTTTGGCATCTCCATGTGGTCCTGTTCGGTATCGCAACTTGGCTTCTCTAAAATGTAAAAAAGCTCTTTGCTGTTGCACTGTACACATACTATACAATTCAGTAACTGATAATGTGTTTTTTCTGAATGTCTGCTTCAGCCACACAGTGTCTTACTGGTACCGTTTTAACCTTTTTTGTAAAGGGCAATGACTTTTTTTTTTGCATGTTCGCTTTATAAACACTGGGTTGATTCTTCCACCTACATCACGCCTGACCTCACCTAATAAAGACATGCATGCACATCACAGAGCTAATGCAAGACAAGCATTTGTGGTTAAAAAGTGTATAAATATAATCGTTTTGCCAGATAAGACCCTTATTCCTCGGCTGGGATCATGTAGAGCCCTTTGAAGCTGCATTGAAACCGCATTTTTGACTTTCAAATCATTGGCCACCATTGAAGTCTACTATATGGAGAACAATCCTGGAATGTTTTCCTCAAAAAACTTAATTTCTTTGCAACTGAAGAAAGAAAGACATGAACATCTTGGATGACATGGGGGTGAGTAAATAATCAGGATATTTTTATTCTGGAAGTGAATTTATGCTTTAATCTTAGTTAATGTCTACTAATATCAATCTCAACATTTATTATAATATGTGTATTTGACTTTATCTTATAACGAGGTAAAAAAATCCCACTGGAGAAAAAAAATTACTGAAGACACATAAAATACAAAATTACTTAAGAAAACATATATACATATATATCAACAATAATCTTTATTGTATATACTCTATATTACAATATAAAAAAAAATATATATATATATATATATATTCTGTGTATTGAGCTGCAAATTGGTTCCCATTTTATTCATTTATTTATTTTACTATATACAGTATTATAATGTGTATTAAATTTAAGCTTTTACTGAGGCAAGAAAATCCCAATAGAGAAACATAAAATATATATATATATTTTTTTGCAACGAGGGCAGAGCAGAAGATAGTTTCCATCAAGGTTTGTCGTCTCTCCTCTCGAGGCCGTATTGATCCAAAGCATCTTCCATTTCCATCATACAAACATAGGGTTTGTTTATCTCCGTCTGAAACGCACACTTCTACAATAAAATATCGATCGACTGAGCAAAAGACTGGACCGCCACATAAAACAAACCACAATGACCTTGAGATCTCAGAGACTCGGAGAGAGCCTGAGCCTAAAGAGAAAATAAATGCACGGATGATGCAGGAAAAACCTATAGATGATCAAGAGGAAAACCGAGGCTTTCATTCCTCTTCATGACACGTGCGAGGGAGGATGTCAACCATTAAGGAAGGAATTTAACTATTTCTGATTTCTGTTAAAGATTCCAGTGTTTTTGAAAGAATGTAGACAAACTATTAATGAAACCAAATGTCTTGAAAATCTTTCGGTTCCAGTATTCTCTTTATAAACTGAAACCGGTTCTTGATTGCCAACCAGTAGATTTAATTCACTTCCCTGAAACAATTCCATTTCTAAGAAATAAACGCTGGCCAGTACATGAGAGCGTATGTGATAACAGGCTTGGGAAAATGGATTTCACTGCATTTAATGCATCAACCAAGCAAATCCACCCCATTCATATAATCTGACCATCTGCTAAACATCGAACACATGACATCTGACTCATCCAGTGTGATACAACACTTCATTCCATGATGTTCCTTCTGTCCATATAACCTTCTCTGAACTGTAACACATGCAGGAAGAGCTAAAATATTAATCACTCAATTATGGAATTAACATCAACAATTTTAAATCCATAATGTGGTGTATTTCTGAGTGAAAGGACTGTCTGGATGGCATTGTTTTCTTTACAATAATGTGCAATTGATGGGGGAGAAAAAAAGAGAGAGAAAACAGCTAACTTTTACTGTACCTTCTGATCACACTGCACAAAAGTGATGTCCTTCATCAGTATTTTTGTCTTGTTTTCCAGTGCAAATGTGTACATATTCTTAAATCAAGACACTGAGAAAATGACTTAAGATAATATGTCTTATTTTCTGAGAAATTGGTCAAAATGAAGTGAATTTATGATCAAAACAAGACAAATATCTGCCACTAGGCTAAAAAAAAAAACCCCATTGACAGATATTTGTTCTAAGCATAAACTCACTTAATTAAAAAAAAAAAAATTCCCAGAAAACTGGACTTCAACTAACATAATTTTGCATCTCCAAGTAAATGTATTTTGTTTTAAGGATGTTTAAATGTGACCCTGGACCACAAAAGCAGTGTTAAGTCTCTGGGGGATATTTGTAGCAATAGCCAAAATACACTGAATGGGTCAAAATTATAGATTTTTCTTTTATGCCAAAAATCATTAGGATATTAAGTAAAGATCATGTTCCATGAAGATATTTTGTAAAT